TTCACGTTGGGATTATGGAATGCCCTTTTTTTTTTTTTTTTTTTTGACAGAGTTAGACAGTGAGAGAGTAAGAGAGAGACAGAAAGAAAGGTCTTCCTTCCATTGGTTCACCCCCTAAATGGCCGCTACGGCTGGTGTGCTGCACGGATCTGAAACCAGGAGCCAGGTGCTTCCTCCTGGTCTCCCATTGGGTGCAGGGCCCAAGCACTTGGGCCATCCTCCACTGCACTCCCGAGCTACAGCAGAGAGCTGGACTGGAAGAGGAGCAACCGGGACAGAACCGGCGCCCCAACTGGAACTTGAACCCAGAGTACCAGCGCTGCAGGTGGAGGATTAGCCTAGTGAGCTGCGGCACCGGCCGGAATGCCCTTTCAATTGGTTGTTTTCTTTTGCTCCTTTGGTAATACCTTTCTTTTTATTACAACATTTATTATGGCTTTTGTTTTCAAAGGACATTTTTAAAAAAGATTTATTTATTTATTTATTTGAAAGAGTTACACGGAGGAGAGGCAGAGAAAGAGAGAGAGAGAGAGAGAGAGAGAGAGAGAGAGAGAGGGAGAGAGAAAGGTCTTCCATCCACTGGTTCACTCCCCAAATGGCTGCAATGGCCAGCACTGCACCAATCCTAAGCCAGGAGCAATGAGCCAGGAGCTTCTTCTGGGCCTCCCACATGGGTGCAGGAGCCCAAGGACTTGGGCCATCTTCTACTGCTTTCTTAGACCATACCAGAGAGCTGGATTGGAAGTAGAGCAGTCGGGTCTCGAACCAACGCTCATATGGGATGCTGGCATTTCAGGCCAGGGCGTTAACCTGCTGCGCCATAGCACCGGCCCCTCAAAGGAGATTTTTGTCTATTTTTATTTCATGCCCAGGAGACTTTTTAGTAGATTGTGTGTGTGGGTTTACTTGGATTTTTTTTTTAACACCAAGAAGCATTATAAAGAGGTTTTAAAACCCAATTTTATTGGGGCAGGTGTTATAGCACGGTGGGCTAAGCATCTGCCTCCTTGCAATGCTGGCATCCCATATCAGAGTGCCAGTGAAGTCCTGGCGACTCCACTTCTGATACAGCTTCTGCTTTTGCAACCTGGGAGGTAGTAGATGATGGCCCAAGTACTTGGGTCCCTGCTACTCATGTGGGAGCCCCAGATGGAATTCTAGGCTTTAGCCTGGGTTCAGTTCTGGATGTTGTGGGCATTTGGGGAGTCAACCAGTGGATGAAAGATCTGTTTCTTTGCCACTCCCTTTCTCTCTACCACTTCACCTTTCAAATAAATGAATAACTAAATAAATAAGTATTTTTCATAAAAATCATTATATTATGGAGAGTTTCAAGTGTATGCAAAATGATACTTATTGTGTAACGACTCATTGACTCATTGATCCTTTGTGCAGCTACAGTGACCTTCAGCTCCTGGCCAGTCCTGTCTTGTTATGCCTGCACCCCCGGTTCCTCCACCATGTATATATAAATGAATAAATAAATTCCATCATAAGTATTTCAGCATATTTCTCTCAAGAGTAAAGACCATATCTCAGTGTTATCACAATGCTTTTATCATGTGTAAAGTTTAATATTTATCTCACAGGGAGATATTTTTAAGGGACACAGGAGGATTAAAAATTCAGACATACATACATTACCAACTATATCAGCTTTTTACATTTTTTTCCGAATTCTCTAATTTTGGACCCCAAGCACACTTATATTTTGTAAAGATGATAGCAATGCCTGCTCCTTTGCAGTCTTCCAGATGTACTTCTTGTGAGTGTGTGGACATCAGCTGTGTTTCCTTCCACCCAAGAGGAGCAAAGGGTGTTCTGCAGAGTGTGTAAGGTCAGACTTACAGACTCTCAGGAATTTGCTAGAGCCTCATCTAACTTCTAACGCTCCTTACGCATTCACACATAGTTATTGAGACTGTCATTGCGAGTCCGTTGTGCTGAGATGCCGGGGGTTACAGTAGAATAGCAACAGGCAGGCCCTAACGTGGTGCTCAGAGTGGACAGGGGAGCAGGCCTCACGTATGCGGGATGTGAATAATCCCTTGGTCATGCGGGGGTGTGCTGTGGAGGTGGTGTGAAGGGTGAGGGGCATGGTCTTCAGTGAGGGGCAGTTCAGCCTGGCAGCGCAGGTAGAGAGGCCAGCCTGTGTGAGTGCCCGCAGGCCTCAAGGGGGCTGGCCGTCAGAAGAGCAGAGTGGGGGCAGGGTGGCTGTGGTGGGACTGGGGGTGTGGGGGAACCTGGAGAAGAGCCCCCTTGTCATCTTGGGTCTGTCTTTTCCAAATGGCCCCAGGACCCAAGGCCTGGGTTCAGCTCCCCTGCCCCCTTTAGACTCTGGGATGCCACTGGGAGATACAAGTCCCTGACTCTTAGCTAGTTCGGATGCATCATAGTTAGAGAAAGACGTTGGATTTGCAAAGACATAGACACTGGAATACTACCATTTTGGAAGAACTAGTATTATTTACATAGTGGGAATATTGTGAGAAGTAATAAATTACATAATGAAATCACTAGACAGTAAAGGTTTCTCTCTCCTCTTTCTTCATAACCGCTCCTTTCCTTTCTCTGCCGGAGCCTAGCAGCTGGTACAGCTGCCCAGGAATCCTGTCCTTGTGAGTGCTCCCTGCTCCTGAGCACAGTCCAGGGCTGGGCCTTTCCCTGGAGGTCTTCTATCTAAATCATGAGATTTTAACAGTGTTCAGTCTTAGCTTTTAAAAAATTAATTTATTAATTTGAAAGGTAGAGTTCCAGGGAGAGGGGGTGAGAGTGAGATTTTCCATTTGCCGGTTTACTCCCCAAATGGTCACAACAGCTAGGGCTGGGCCAGGCCAAAACCAAGAGCCTCGAACTCCATGGTCTTTCATGTGGGTGCCAGGGGCCCAAGCACTTGAGCTATCTTCTGCTGCCTTCCCAGGCACATTAGCAAGGAGCTAGATTGGAAGTTGAGCAGCTGGGACTCGAACCTGCACTCATGTGGAATGCTGGCATCACAGGGGGTGGTTTAACCCACTGTGCCACAACCCTGCCCCCAGCTTTTTATTTTTTTTAATGGAAATGCAAATTATCCATTCAAAAATAATATTGGATTTTTTTTTTTTATGTAAGGCAGAGTCAGAGAGAGAGAGAGAGAGAGAGAGAGAGAGAGATTTTCCATCCACTGGATCACTCTCCAAATGGCCTTAACAGCTGGAGCTGAAGCCAGAGGCCAGGAGCCTCATGTGGGTTTCCCTCATAGGTGCAGGGACCCAAGGACTTGGGCCATCTTCCGCTGCTTTCTCAAGTACATTAGTAGGGATCTGGATTGGAAGCAGAGTAGCCGGGACTCCAACTGGTGCCCACATGCCATGCCGGTGTCACAGGCAGTGGCTTTACCCACTACACTGTAACACTGGCCCTCAATACTGGATCTTTAACAAAAAAAAAGTTTAAATTCAAAGTACAAAAGAGTATAAAGGAGAAGGTGCATATCATTTATTGAGAAAAACTCTCATTAAAGGTTTGGATTCTACCTTTCTGGATGTTTTACACACACAAGTGAATATTCTTAGAATAAAAAAATGAAAATACAGAATACACTGTTTATCATTTAGTGTCTCTGGGCTATCTGCTCGTGTGTACGACTTTGAGATCCGAGACCTTGTGGGCAGTGTTCCAGTGGCCTTGGCCTTGTTTGTGTCTTCCTCCCTCATTCCTTGGCCTGGCCTGGGAGGAGGAGTCTCTGTGTTCAGACACCTACTTTTCTGTGCAAACCAGTCTGCCTCAGATAGCCTTGCTTGCAGAAAAGCATTTCACCAAAGCCTGTGGTCATTAGCTTGTTTTTCAGGAATTGGGGTGGAGTCCGGGACTGAAAGAGCGTGCTTTTGTTTCCTGGTATGTGCAGTTTCAAAGGAGCTTTTCCTCTTCCTAATTATATGTCTAGTAAAATTGGTAATAATTTAATGCCCACTTGTCATTCCATCAAGGACTATGTAACAGCCCAGCCACCTAAAGTTAGGAACACATTTCAGGGGTGGGATCGTTGCTTGTGGGACCCAGGTGTAAGGGATACAAGATGAAGCATATACCGGAAACAATACCACGTCCCGAACCCAACTGTGTGCAGAAGGGTGGGAAGCGATGAATGTGTTTTCTTCCTTTTTCAAAAGCTGTCATTGTCAAAAACAAACAATACAGAAGAGGTTAAAGAGAAAAGTGAGAGTTGCCACATTGCCAGCACTCTGGTTGTCTCCTCCTTGAAGGGCCCTACTGTTAATGACTTGTCTTGTATCTTTCTAGAATTTTCTTTGATTTTACAAACTTTGAATATTGGTGTGAATCAAAGTACTTCTGTTTTGCTGTAAGTAGTGATTTTTGAAATGCAAATTTTTATGCTAAGAAATTTTTTAGTGAACATATGGGACACACAAAGATGTTTGAAAGGTTGGTGTGAGGACAGAGTTGCTGGTATGGAATCTGGGCTTCCATGCTATGAAGTTGCCAAGGTTTCAGTGTTGGCCCCAGGGAAGAGCAGGAGCAGGTGGATTTGTCTATGAAGTCTCAAACCTTGGTCTTGGTTTTTCTCTTGCCTCTGTCCCTTCCATGTCATGGAGGCCCTTATCCTGTCACCTATCCCTAGCAAAAGCTATAATACGGGGAGATGTACTTAACACTTGAATCTGGATATGTGGCCATGAACGAACCACTTAACCTGTCTGAACTCAGTTTTCTTGGCTGTGAAGTGAAGAGGACAATTGCTGTGCCCCAGAGTGGTTGTGAGCATTAAGTGTGCTAAGGAACATTCCTACCTTACAGGAAGTGCTCAACAAATCTTAATTTCCCCTTTTCTTACTACCTGGGCTTTCAGTCTATAAAGTGGTATTACAATTTGGGCACGTTGCCCTTTCTCAAAGGGATGTTTATTTCAACAATCATCAAGGCTTTAAGTGAAAGAATTAAGATCAGCCGGCAGTCCCAGGAAGATTCTTTCGGGCAGAAGTCACGCTGTCTCTGCCTGACGTTTCTGGAAGATTTCATGAATCATCACAGCGAGATGTGTACTGGTTCCCCCTGCTTTGCTCAGAATGTGACCTTAGGCTCAGCTCTGCTCTCAGAGGACAGTTTGGCTGCCAGATGATTGCAACCTCAACCTCATGCATTTCATGCACATGTTGGGTTATGAGGTTGAAGCCATACACAGGAGTTGAACTAAGGGGGAACAGCATTACCGAGAGTAGGAAGTTTCAAGCACTTGCTTTTGTTATCAGGGATCACGCGATTCCTTCTGGCACCTTTGTGAGAACGGGAAAAGGGTACCTCCTTTGGAGAGATGGGGCCCCACAGATGGGCCACGAGGTAGGGGAGAAGTCCTAGATGGACAAAAGGAGGGAGGCCACATGCTAGGAGCAACTTGGTAAGTGGTGGCCAGGAGGGACTTCTGCTCCCCTCTGTCCCTGCTGCCAGGTGCTCAGTGCAGGGTACAACCTACATAATCGTACTCATTGGGCCCATTATCAGGTTGTTTTCATGAACGCTAAAGAGTCATTATTGTTTTTCTTTTTGCCACTTACTTTTAGCCTCCTGACCTAAGCAATGCAGAACCTACCAGGAAACTTCCTCAGGGAGTCGTTTATGGTGTGGTGCGAAGATCCGATCCAAATCAGCAGAAGGAAATGGTGGTGTACGGCTGGTCCACCAATCAGCTGAAAGAAGAGATGAACTACATCAAGGATGTGAGTGATTTAGGCTTTTTTTTTTTTTTTTTTTTTTTTTTTTTTTTTTTGCAGCATTTAAGGAGGTGGAGTTGGAAGCATTGGTGTGAGATAATAAGGTTTTCTGAAAGAATTCTTAGGATTAGCATTTTGGATGGAATTATTTCTGTGTGTCTTCATGGTAATGTTAAATAGTCAGATGTAATTCTGTAATGAGGGATGAACCTCTGTGGATGGACATTCGGGAGAGCACCGACTTTTCTTCTTCTGTGTATGCTATGGAGTCTCTAAAGTGGTTTTGCTTATTACATTGGACATACCAGATATATACATTTAGGCACCTATAACATGTGGATGCTTTTGGTTGTAAGTCACAGAAAAGACAACTCAAATTTATGTCACGTGGTGATGAGTCTGGAGGTAGTTGGGTCCCAGTCAGGGTGTGTCTAGGCTCTAGTTCTAGTTCTCTGTGTTTCTACTGACTCAGACTGGCGGCATCATCTGAAAATGTGTAGTGTTTGGAGGAAGAGATGAGGCTACATCTCTGGTTATTTCTTGGAATGCCCTTTCCTGCACACATTAGATTGCCCCTTGTGTCATATTGGCCAGAGCTGAGTCACATGCCCAGTTCCAAACTCAACACTGACAAGGGGATTAGGAAGACTATGGCTGGTTCAGACCAGTCAGTTGGATTGATATGAATGCCGGGAAGCCAACCGCAGTAGACACCCAACCTAAACCACTTAGTGTCATTTCTTTGTAATGTTGTATTTCTTATCTTTTAAATTATATGTTCTGTTGGGAAAATTTGGGAAACCCAAAAATGTATAAAGAAGAAGACAAAATTATCCATAACTTCATTCGGTAAGAACAGCATTTTGGAACATTTTCTTTTCTTTCTTTCTTTCTTTTTTTTTTTTTTTTTTTTTTTACAGAGTTAGACAGTGAGAGAGAGACAGAGAGAAGGTCTTCCTTCTGTTGGTTCACCACCCTAATGGCCACCACGGCCAGCGCACTGTGCTGATCCGAAGCCAGGAGCCAGGTGCTTCCTCCTGGTCTCCCATGCGGGTGCAGGGCCCAAGCACTTGGGCCATCCTCCACTGCCTTCCCGGGCCACAGCAGAGAGCTGGACAGGAAGAGGAGCAACTGGGACCAGAACCGGTGCCCCAACCGGGACTAAAACCTGGAGTACCGGCGCTGCAGGTGGAGGATTAGCCTAGTGAGCCACAGTGCTGGCCAGAACATTTTCTTTAAATATTAAAATATTTTATTTTCATTGCCGGCGCCGTGGCTCACTAGGCTAATCCTCCACCTTGCGGCGCCGGCACACCGGGTTCTAGTCCCGGTTGGGGCGCCGGATTCTGTCCCGGTTGCCCCTCTTCCAGGCCAGCTCTCTGCTATGGCCAGGGAGTGCAGTGGAGGATGGCCCAGGTGCTTGGGCCCTGCACCCCATGGGAGACCAGGAAAAGCACCTGGATCCTGGCTCCTGCCATCGGATCAGCGCGGTGCTCCGGCTGCAGCGGCGGCCATTGGAGGGTGATCCAACGGCAAAGGAAGACCTTTCTCTCTCTGTCTCTCTCTCTCACTGTCCACTCTGCCTGTCAAAAAAAAAATATTTTATTTTCATCTTATTTGGAAGAGAGACAGACTGAGAAAGACTGATGAAAAGAGATCTTCCACTCTTTGGTTCACTCCCCAAATGCCTATAACAGCTAGGGCTGGGCTAAGCCAAAGCTGGGGCTAGGCACTCTGATATGGGTCATAGGCACCCCAAGTGGCAGTGAAACAGCTGTGCCATATGCCTCCCGTAATCTTTTTATGTGCCTGCCTGTCTACCTTTCTATAATTATTTTTGTTCCACTGTTGTCCCCCTGCATTGACCAGTGCCACTATTGCCCAAACCTGACTGATTTGGTGAAAGAGGAAATGAGCTGCCCTGACATTGATGGGCCCCAGAGATGGACCTGTGGCTTAGAAAGTGCTTGTGAGAAGCCGGGCAGAATGGGGAAGGAGAAGGCACCGAGGCCTGGGAGCTCATAGTCCTTGCTTCCAGGCCCAGCTCTGTCCAGCATGGGCCAGCACTCACTTATGTCCTCCCTAGGCTTCTGTTTTCTCATGTGTAGATTGTGGGACAGGGAAAGCTCTGATCCTCAGGCCAAAGCCTCCAGCTCCGTGTTCCCTGATTTATTGGGGGGTTTATGGATAAGATGCAGAGTCAGCTTACCCATAAACTATTGTATGAGCAGTAAAAGAACATTTCTTCTCAAAAATTAATAGAAATAATAATAATAAAAATAATAAATAATAATAATTGCCTAGCAGAAAATATGAGGAAAAGCCAGAAAGCATCATACACACTTATACGCGCAGAATGGGTTTGACAACCACCCAACATTATCCTACCTCCCAAAGGTAATTTCTAGTCATCCACACTGTTCTGTTCCTTTATTTTCCTGTCAAGAATAGCTCAGACACCCAGATTTCCTGCATATTTTAAAAAAGAGTTATTTATTTGAAAGACAGAGTGATGGCGGCTGGGGGGGGGGCGTGGGTGAGAGAGAAAGAGAGAGAGAGATCTTCTTGCTGCTGGTTCACTTCCCAAATGGCTACAATATCCAGAACTGGGCCAAGAACTCCATCTGGGTCTCCCCTGTGGGTGGCAGGAGCTCAAGTAATTGAGCCATCGTCTGATGCTTAGCAGGTGCATTTGCAGGCAGCTGGATCCAAAGCAGAACAGCCAGGTCTTAAAGCACCACTCCAATATGGGATGCAGGAGCTGCAAGCAGAGGCTCAGCCTGCCACACCGTGGTGCCCGCCCCAGACTTTTCTCATTTAAATGCTTCAAATAGAACGGTATTGCTTCAGAGGTGAACCTTCTAAGCAGAGTCCAGAGCTTTCAGTTGCCTAAGAGAACGATACCAGGTTTAGGCGGATCCCGAGCACAGATGACACGTGCCCAAGCTGCAGGGCTGGTTCTGACCTGGAATTGCCGACATCGCTGTAATCTGCAACTTGAAATTAATTTCCAGGTTCCTCCTTCTAAAGCTGCCTTCAAATCCCTCCCTGGCATGGTCATTCCTCAGTGTGTTTATGAGTTTGTTTACTCTCTGTCCCTGATGAGAGACGCTCTGGGCCTGTTGACTTCCTGCAGCGTTTGCCAGCGGGACCAACACCCAGCTCGAGACTGCACCGCTCCCACTGATGAGCCATGCAGCGATAGGCTCAGGGCCATAAATGAAAGCCATTCTGCCTGCCTAGAGGAGAGATAAATCATTGTAGTTATTTATAGCAGAAAGTAGACTCTATCGTTAGAATCCATCTGGGCAAGGCTTGGGATCTTGTCTGCCAGTCTCTACCCATGTCTATTACCATGACAAATATGCGGTCTAATTTAAAACAGTGTGCTCCCATGCAAATCCACCTCCATCCTTAAGTCTCCCGAATGTTGTGCCCTAAACAATCACAGTCTAATGAAGTTGCTGCCTTTCAGCACTTCCTAAAATAGAAACTCTGAAGTGCACCTGCAGAAAACTCATGAGACTTCCTGTGCTCTTGGAGGATTCCTTTGTCCCTCGTAGGGCACCCGAAGAAGCAACTGTTTGTAAGGTTTTTTGTTTTATTGAAAAAAATTTAAGGCCCTGTTACTCTTCTGAGTGGTTGGTACCACAGGGTTTGTGTCAACAAGTGTTTGGGGATCACCTTCCTTTTTGTGGTGGTGTAGAGTGTTGGTGACTAGTAAGGACTCTAACATTTGCAGGCTCTCTGGGGCTCATAATTTCCTGCCTTGTGTTCCAGACTTTTAGTTGTTCTGTGGTGGCTGGAGTAGAGATAGGGAAAGTTAGGTGTTGCCTTTTGCATTTTGGCTTTTGTGGTCCCCTTGGCCATGTGTTTATAGAGTCCTCTTGTTTAAAAATTTCCCCTTATAAAACTACACGATGAGAAAAGGGAAAGTTGACCAAATGTGGTTTGAGGGTGATAGGAATTTCAAGAAACCATTTTTTCTTCTTTATCATTTGATAACCATATTTATTAATAATTATAATAATTTATAATTACATATATAAGGTTATTATTATTTGATAGTCCCTTGGTTTATAACTGGATGGATCATTTCTCTTCATTTTCTAAATATCTTGTTCATAAGATTACTTTTTGTGGGTCCTTCTCTCATTAGAGTTTCTTAAAAGTTTTGGAGCTCTTGCATGAAAATGTTACAGTTTAATCTCTAACCAGCATCTTTGTGGCCTGCAGGTGAGAGCCACTTTGGAAAAAGTAAGGAAGCGGATGTATGGAGACTATGATGAAATGCGACAGAAGATCCGACAGCTCACGCGGGAACTCTCAGTAAGTCCCGCGTCACTGGTCGGGGAGACCTGGAGGATGGCAGAGCTCTGAGCTTCCTGTCGGGGCCTGCTCTCTAACAGATCGTGTTTTCATTGAACTGAAGGAGTGTTATTGCAGGATGAAGTTTATTATTGAAACTAAAATTTTGGTGGCAAGAGTAATATGAAAGCATTCCCATTAAAGTCTATTCCTAAGAATTTCTTCTACAGATACACTCTCACATGCTTTATGGATGAATGTATTTATTATAGCATTGTTTATAATAGTAAAAATATTAGAATCCGAATGTCCATTGAAAAGGGGAAAGTAAAATAAATTGTATGGGGGTACTTCAAGAAGTCTGGGGAAATGGAATTAAAAGATAAGTTAATTATGGTGCAAAAATTTTGAAATCCATGCATACAAGGAAGTCTTCAAAAAGTTTATGAAAAATGTGTATTATGAAAAAAACTATACATGGATTCCCAAAATTTTTGGCACTAAAATAGACTTATTTTTAATTCTATTTTTTGTGAACTTTTTAAAATACCCTCATAATCTCTACAATATAAAACACACAGTTATAAATGAAAAAAAAAAAACACACAAATAAGCCCTTCAGAGAGATATGGAAATATTTCAGAGATGTAGCATAGTTGCTAGAAGGATCATTCAGAAAGTAATTAGGAGCCAGCACTGTGGCATAGCAGATAAAGCTGCCTCCAGTAGTGCCGGCATCCCATATGGATGCCAGTTTGACTCCTGGCTGCTCCACTTCCGATCCAGCTCCCTGATAATGGCTTGAGAAAGCAGTGGAAGATGGCCCACGTGTTTGGGCTCCTGCACCTACGTGGAAGAACTGCATGAAACTCCTGGCTCCTGGCTTCAGCCTGGCCCAACCCTGGCTGTTGCGGCCATTTAGGGTGTGAACCAGCGGATGTAGGACCTCTCTCTATCTCTGCGTCTTGCTCTCTGTAATTCTACCTCTCAAATAAATAAATACATCTTTAAAAAAGTAATTAGTAGTAGTTCCTAGTTGGGAGACAGGGGTGCACTGCTTGGTTATCAATCAGAAGGGACAGGAGTCAAAGGGAGATTTTAGTGTGTACCTTTTACATTTTCTAAATGCTTGTACCATGTGAGTATAGTACCTATTCAAAAATGTAAGAAACATAACCAGGGCTGGTGTTGTAGCATAGTGTGTAATGCATCCCATGTGGGTGCCAGTTCAAGTCCTGGCTGCTCCATTTGTGATCCAGCTCCCTGCTAATGCACCTGTGAAAGCAGCAGAGGATGGCACAAGTGCTTGGGCCCTTACACCCACATGAGAGACCTTGATGAAACTCCTGGCTCTTAGCTTTGGTCTGTCCCAGCCCTGGCCATTGTGGCATTTGAGGGCGTGAACTAGCAGATAGAACATCTCTCTGAGTCTCTCTCCCTCTCTTTGTATAACTCTGCCTTTCAAATGAATAAGTAAAAGTTAAAAAAAAAAAAAAAAACTTCTTCTAGTGTAACCAAGTTCATGCTTGTGACATTAAAATCTGTTATTCTTCCCAAAGATAAAAGTCCATGCATACAACACACTATATGACTGTATGACATACTCTCCATGAGGGCCAAAAGCTGCAGGCAAGAGGAGCAGTTGTAACAGTCACGCTGCATGGTTCCATTTGTGGCTGGATGGTGAGATTATCTGCTGAAGGAAGACCTAGCGCCTTGGTTACAGGAATGCCGGCATCTAAGCATATCTACCCAGCCCATTCTCAGTATCATGTAGGGGGACTTTTGTGCAGTTCTTGCCTATTCATGGAAATTCACTGGGCCATCCACTGGCAGACACAGATGACGGTTCTCAAAGCCAAAGGTGGGGTTGTTTGCAATAGATGCATATACAAGACTCTACCCCTTGCTGTCCATCACCATCTCCTACGTGTCCTCATTTTCTCAAGCTCGAACCCTCCCCAGAACCCCACCTCTCTGCCCACAGTCTCTCCTTTCTCTAGGCCATCACACTCTCTGCAGGCAAATTAAGATCGCTAATCTGCTACTCTGTAAACATGCGGCTGGACAAAAGCATGTCACTGGCTCTTGGTCAGGGCCTGCTGTTCCAACTCCCCCGCTCCCCATTGTGCACTTCCTGCTCTGTTGTGTGGCTTCCTGTGGCTGCCATAGGCCACACCAAGGCCCACCCCTGAGCCTTGCTGGGAACCCCTACCTCGAGTTCTCCTGCCCCCCCCCCCCCCCCCCCGCCTCTCTGTATTCAGTCCTCGTTAAGGTCTAGCTTAAGTGTGGCCTCTGATGGAACTTTTTCAAGCATGTTAAACACACACACCCGACAAAGACAGCCACAAAACAACTCTTAAGAATGGAGTGAATTCAAAGTACATTCTTTCTGGAGCAAATAGAAAGAGCAAGATGACAAAAGACATTTTGCTAGCTGGATTCAGGTTCCAGCTTGCCACTTGTGAGCTGTTTGTGTGCAAACCACTCAGCCTCTCTGATTCTGTTTCTTCCCTGAAAAGAGCAGTGTTCGAGTTCTGTACAGTGTTCTTGAGGCTCTGTGCTACAGGGTCGAGGAATGAATGATGCTCTGTGGGTGGATGTGTACAAGGGTACTTAAGGAAGTTTCTGGAAAAGTGGAGTTGTAAACAAAATGTATTTGGGTGCAAAAAAATCCATATGTATTTTTTCATAAATGCATTTTTTCATGAACTTTAAAAAAACGTTTATTTTCATTGACCTGAAAGGCAGAGTGACAACACATACACACAGACGAATAGAGGCAGAGAGAGAGAGAGAGATCTTTAATCCACTGGTTCACTCCTCAAATGCCTGCAACAGCCAGGGCTGAGCCAGGCTGAAGCTAGGAGTCTGGAACTCCATGGGGGTCTCCCATGTGGTTAGCATGCGCCCAGGTCCTTGAGCCAACACTGCAGCCTCCCAGGATGTGCGTTATCAGGAAGCTGGATTGGAAGTGGGGCAGCCATGATTCGGCGTGGCACTCAGGGATGGGATGTGGGCATCCCTATCAGGACTCACTAACAGCACCACGATGCCTGGCTCTCCGTGAACTTTTTGAAGATGCCTCACATGTATGGATTTCAAAAAGTTTTTCACCGAAGGAAACATCTTTTCGTTCCATTTCCCACATTCTGAAGTGCCTTCATAGGATCCTAAGGAAGAGTATTCTTCCCTTTCTACTCTCTCTCATGCAGATGTTGACTTTTCTTTTAAAGTTTATTATTGAGATGGATTTGGCTACTATCAGAAGAAAGTTCCAGGCAAGTGAAGATTGTTGTATGTGTGGAGTGGTTTTGTGTGACTTTCTCCTCCATCTGTGCAGGTTTCCCAAGCTCAGCAGGACTACCTAGAGAATCACATCCAAGCCCAGTCATCAGCTCTGGATAGTTTTAATGCCATGAACTCAGCCTTGGCTTCGGACTCCATTGGTCTGCAGGTATTTATCAGCTCATTCTGTTATAGAGCAGCCAAGCTTAGTTATGAGTAGGCCCTGTTCCTCTGGAGAGAAGTAAGTCACAGAATATCCTCAGCTCATTATTCAGAGTCCTTTTAGCATAGCCATGGTAGAGACCATGAAGGAAGTTGGAGGAAGAATTCTCAAGCTGCGACTACACCTTTGTTTATGTTTATTAAATGGGGGCTCAGGTCCTGAGTTCAGTGCTGGAGATGTCACTTGTTCCACCAGCTTTATGAGGAATCCTAAGTGCCAAGCCTCAAACAGCACACTGCGGCCCCTTTTCCCTGTAGCTCAAGTATTACAGGAAAGCCCCCAACACACACACACACACACACACACACACACAAGACAGACTTAACCCAAGGCAGTCTACACTCATTCATAGCAAGCATGTCCCAAAGGCTTGCAGCATGTGCTTTCTTAAAGTAGAAAGGAGTTTGCATGAGAAAGAATCTGATGTGTTCCAAAGAATGTCTGGTAGTAGCAGAGAGCAAAGCAGAAAGACCCGCGATCCTCCTTTTGTGAAAATGTGTGTCGTCAGACAGTGCGAGAGAATGTTCTCGTGATGAATTTGATTCTTGGAACTAACCTTTCACATGCTTTCCATTCTTGTCCTTTCCTACTGCACATGCAAATAAACTTGAAAATGTTCAAAACAAAGCATTATGTTCCCTGGAAATGTTTCCCTTGGCTTTTGTGTCTAAATATAGAAACAATAGTTTTTGCCTCTCCTCCAACTTCATTTGCTGTTTTAACACTCCTCTTAAAAGTTCCACAAACAATTTCAAATTCTTTCTGGTCCTATATAAATAATTTACGGGATAAACAAACACATTTTCACGTTGGGATTCTCCATATCCCCTAGAAGCTCGCGTTCTCTGACAGCAGCAGATACAGCATTGGTAGCAACAACAAAGCTCAGCTACTGTCCAACAGTGGGCCTGGGTGGGGCCCGTGTTTGGGTTTGTCTGGGATGCCCATTTCAGGGGGCGCCTCTGAGCCCCACTGTTTCCTGGCTGTCTTTTGTGTGTGCCAGTTTTCCCCTGGCCTCAGGCCAAGCCCCACTTTGGGTCTGGCAAATTCAGTAGCCTTTGTTTTCCCTTCCTCCTGCCAGCAAGGGGACTTGCCAGGGCTCCCTCTCCTTCCCTTCAGTATCTTCTCTCTCCCAGCCAGCCAGAAGGGCGCTACCTGACCTGGGTTCAGACTTGGTTGGTCTCTGTACTGTGTTTCTGGTGTTTCTTCTTAGGACGACAACAACAACAACAAATACTTGCAAGTATTTTCTGGGGAATTCTTGCTTTTTTTTTTTTTTTTTTTTGCCATCTGATTGATATTTTGGGCATTTATTTGAGAGATCTACTGTTAGAGTAAGGTCAGCCCCAACACAGGAACCCTGGTTGGTTTCTAGTTAATGTTCAGAATCTTACTCATGGGCAGCCAAAGGAGCCATATAAAACTAAAAGATTAAACCATTGTTACAAAAAGAGAGAGAGAGAGAGAGAGAGAGAGAGAGAGATGGAGAGAGAAGTTTCCGTTTCATAGTCAGGAAGGTGGTGGTAGTTGGCTTCTTATTTGTGAAAGATCCCAGCCTCTTCCTCTTGCTCATTCTGCTGCTGTCATTATTATCAAGGGTGAGACCAGGGCCTAGGTTAGATTCATAGAACGTAGGAGCTAGAACTGTTGAGATGATCTCCAGTCTCTTTGTTTTATGGATGAACAAATTGAGACCAACAGAGAGACATGACATGCACAAGGCGTAGAACTAGTGGAAGAGCCAGGATCAGAAGCCTCCTGGCCTCTTGGTACAGATTGTAGGTTTTTGTGTAGTTGTGGGATTTAGTTCCTGTAAAGGCGGTGGGCTCAGCGAGGGGAGTGGTAAGGCCAGGGGATTGCTAAAGCCCTCTTGAAGTTCAGATGTTCTGTGATTCCATGTTTCCAAATGGCTTCAACATTTCCTGTAATTCCTGATAACTTCCATTAGAAGTTCTCTTTCCTGATTCAAAAAGATCCAGGAATAAGAGGTTTGTTACTGTCCCAAGGGGAAGCTGCAGAGCTGGGGAGGCTTCAGATGGATCATTCAACAAAGAGGACAAAGGTGTGAGAAACGTCACCACCAGAGTTTGCAGATCTTCTGATCTGAGGTTGTTGATTAACCTGAGGGATGCGTGGAGGGTACCACAACCCAGTGTCTGACGGCAGGAGTTCTCGAAGCCATTTCTCTCTGAGCAAAGTTAGCCAGATAGAAACTGAAGCCGTAAATAGCAACACAATTTGTTAAATATTCCTGCTTCAGTGGGTGGCCTGGAGCAATAGTTATCATGCTTTTGATAGATGTCAGACCTGTATCAAATGCTATCCCATGGTGCTTTTTTGTCACTATCCTCTCTGCCTACGGGGGGAAGCTGAGACATTTGCAGGCATTGGCATAGCCTCAGCCTGGTTGTCACTATCCTGACAGGCGATCTGGAAGTACAGACGTGACAGCTCTTTCATAAAAAAGGGAGCTATCTCCATCCTACAAAACTCATATTTCATTGTGGGAATATGAAAAATACAGGAAAAAAGAAAAAATAATTATCCATAAACCTATCCCACAGTGAAAGCTATATTTGCATTTTCTCCTTAGTCTTTCCTGTCTCTGTACATAAATATGTATTTGAACCAGTGTGTAGCCATACTTTTCAAAATAGAATTGTACTATGCTGAATATTTTCCACATGAAACATGTGTTAGTAACATTTTCCTTGGAAAAAGTACATTTCTCTCCATTTCTGTCCACCCTAAGTGCTATTGGCAGCGGCTTTGGGACACAATGGGGAGGCTCCCTGGCCCCATCAGAGTATAGGGTGGCAGACATCTTGACCAGGGAGGCCCTGGGTCCTCACATCTCCTGCAGAGGCATAAGACAAAGATGTCCCAGTGCTTGACTCCAGAGGCCTTGCTTTTGTGCGCCACTAGATCTCGTTTGGTTTTTATTTGCCTCCAAACAGAAAAACCCTCGTGGAGTTACTTTGGAAAATAGCAACATTAAGGATCAGATTCGAAATTTGCAGCAGACGTATGACGCATCCGTGAGGAAGCTACGGAGAGAAGCAGAGGCAGTTAGAGGCGCGCAAGTGGAAAAATCAGCTGCTGAAAATGAAGGTAAAGAGGTGGAGTCGAGATTCCCTGCAAAACCTTCTTCTCTTCCCTTTGCCTCTCTCTTCCCATCCTCTACTCTTTCATTTCCTTCTCTCCATTCTCCTCTTCATTAGATTTTCACACCCTCTGTGGCCAGCCCCACAGGGCTTTGTCTTGAAGGCAAGAGGAGGTACCTGTGTCCCAGCTGTCCATAAACATCTTCACTGGGCACTACTCCCTAGGCTCCCTGGCCTCAAAGGCTGCTTAGCAGGCAATCGGTGCCCACAGGTGTGGCCTTCAGAAGTTTTGGGGATATAGCCCTGTGCTGTTGAGATTTTTCTTTGAGCTCCAGAGATCTTCCTGTCTGACTTAACAAACAGAGGTAAGGGACACACAGTTCAGTGGCACTTGGATCTGGTCTCCTCAGGAACAAAAGCAGTGGTGGCTGAGGACTCTAGGGAACATCTCTCTTGCCCAGCAGGCTGTGCAGATTCCTGTGCTGGGCCCCCTAGCGCCCTGGAGGTGTTAGTGCTGTCCCCACATTTGAAATGTGGACAGATTTCCTGCCCAGGGACAGGGGACCCATGAATGGCTCATGGACGACTTTCAAAACATTATTTCCCAAGTGTATTTTTTTTTTAACCTAAGTCTGTAGTTTTAAAATTGTTCATTGCAGGCCTATGTTATCTCTTAGGTACTATATCTGCATAATTTATTGCTCAGACCAGAATATGACAGGGAAGGAAAGGTGGTGATTTAAGTAGGGAAACAAGCTGGGAGCTGTGGTCCTTCTCACTATGGGTTTCAGACAGGCTAGATGGAGAGGAAGGGTTGCCATGCTGCACATACTCTGTTGCTACCCCATAAGGGTTCAGCCTTCACAGTCTGCAAGCCCTTCACACAAACACCCTGGGAGTGGGGGAAGGAAGCAGACAGCCACAGGATAGGTCAGCTCCTCTTTACTTGCAGTTCAAGCAGCATTTCTCTTCTTTTTCCTATTTCATCTATTGCATTTCTGAATAGGAGTGACTTTGGAGGAAGCGGACATTTAGCCTGGTGATATCAGATGTCCACGTCTCACACTGGAGAACCTGCATGTGCGTCCCAGCTCCAGCTCCCAGTTCCAGCTTCCTGCTAATGCAGATCCCGAGAGGCAGCAGTGATGGCTGAAGTAGCTGGGTACCTGTCACCCATGTGGGAGACCTGGACTGCATTCCTGTCTTTAACTTTGGCCCAGCCCTGGCTGTTGCAGACATTTAGTAGAGTAGACCAGCAGAAGGAAACTCATTCTGTGTGTCTGCCTCTCAAATTAAAAAAAAAAAAATACTTTGGGAGAAACAAAGGTTTATGGTTATAAGTCTGAGATTGTAGATTTAAATATTTTTTTCAGCTTAGAAGCTTTATCCAGTTGTCCATTCCATAAATACTTACTGAGAGTCTGCTATTTGTGTCTATCTTGTACATTGCTAGTGGGTGCAATGGTTCTTATCAGACTTTGGGGCATCAGTAAGCAGCCTGGCAGCCTGGCTGCTTCCCTGAGTCCAGGCTCTAAGTTTAGCCTATAGTTGTCTCTTAAAGAGACTGATGTTTGTTTTCAATCTGACCAGAAGAGCTAAAGGTTTTCCCCTATTATTCCTCTTTTTTTTTTTTTTTTTTTACAGGCAGAGTGAACAGTGAGAGAGAGAGAGACAGAGAGAAAGGTCTTCCTTTGCCGTTGGTTCACCCTCCAATGGCTGCCGCAGCCGGTGCACTACAGCCGGCGCACCGCGCTGATCCAAAGGCAGGAGCCAGGTGCTTCTCCTGGTCTCCCATGGGGTGCAGGGCCCAAGCACTTGGGCCATCCTCCACTGCACTCCCTGGCCACAGCAAAGAGCTGGCCTGGAAGAGGGGCAACCGGGACAGAATCCGGCGCCCTGACCGGGACTAGAACCTGGTGTGCCGGTGCCGCTAGGCAGAGGATTAGCCTAGTGAGCCACAGCGCCGGCCGTGTTCCTCTTATTTTATCACTCCTCACCTCCCTAGATATAAAAATAAAGTTATAGAGACTCAGAATATTTTCACATGACCTGGTGCAGAGTGAGCAGGCCTCCAGGGAGAGAGTCCTATCTCACAGTCTGTGTGTGCACTGGGAGTGATGTGTGTGGTGCACCCATCCTCTCTCAGCTAATGATAACCTCTGCTTGATATTTTCCATTTTGTGGCTTCTAGATGCCAACACCTGCCCAGTGATGAGAAGGGAGAGTTAAAGGGCATCAAGAGAAACTTGTCGCATTTCTGACATAAGTATCACATCACCTCCTGAGGTTGAAGATTCCCGCCCTTGTCGAGTGGTGATGCAACCATTTGCCGCAACGCTGTGAGACAAACAATAACCTGGAAGGAAGGGACAGAGCAGACCTTCAGTAGGATAAAATCAGTGGCAGGAAGAGTACAAGTGAGGCAGAAAGAAAGCATCAGCCCTCACTATCCGTGGTCCTGCTTGCTCGTCTCTCCTAAGCTGGACCTGATCAGGGCATGGGAGGCACCTGCTTAGTGTTTGCCTAGATGGGTTGGACTGTTTCCAAACAGAACATTTGGGAAAGCACAACAGTGTGGAAAGGATGAGTCCATATTTCTTATTTTAGCCCAGCTGACATCTCAGCCTAGAGTCTGGCTTGGCCAAAGCAGCTCATGGAATTGCTTAGAGAAGTGAGTGTCCACCTGTTGGAAATGGACTCACGTGAGCCCCGCTGTCAGACGCCAGCAATGTCAGTTAAAGTGCGGTTTTCTTCTTCTGTGCCTCCACTCACCCTCCTCCTTCCTCCTCCTCTCCCTGCCCCATTCCTGCCTGCGGCTTCTCCACGACAGAACCCTGGGCGATGGGAAATTGCTGATTGCCCTGTAGCCTGCAAAAGCTGTAGTTCTGAGATGGGTCTCTTTGCAGGTGGAATCATCCCAAGAAGCCAATGCGAGGTCTTGCGAGAGATGACCAAGAAGCTGTAC